TTACTTAGTGGAAGCCTACCGGGCCTACTTTTGAAAAGTATTTTGTAAAATACAGGGCCCCTCAGTTGCTGGATATTCTCTGGACGTGGACTCTAAAATTCGCGAAAATTTGAGGAAAAAAGCCAAAAAGTTGCAACAGAGCAACAGTTTTTTTATTTAATGGCGCCAATTTGGATTATCTGTATCATTCTTCTCATTGTTCTCAAAAGTGATTTTTAAAAATACCAAAACAAAGTCCAAGAATGCAAGTTCTTATTATTTATGGGGCTATCAACAATTTTCCACCTATTTTCAGTTTTGCACATTTTTTTGAAAATACCGAAACACAATCGAAAACGACTACTGCGTCAACTTCCCGAAAAAATTCCCGCAAACAGAGTCAAAATTGATCATTACGCCAGTGATTTTTATGGTTTTAATGCCTCTAACACGGATTTTATATCCATTTCCGGATTTGAACAGTGATTTTGAAAACTACGGAAACATAGCGTGGTTAAAAAAGAATGGAGCGCCGACTTTATTGGAAAATTCGCCAAAAATTGACGAAACGAATGAAAAGTTTACAAATGCTGCCACTAATAGCGCACGGTTTTATAGAATTAATGGCGCTAATAGGGATTTACTACCTATTTTAGGTTTTGACTTGTGATTTTTTGAAATCAAGGAAACACATCTTGAACTACGGCAAATAATGTGCCAATTTGATTCAAAAGTTTCCCAAAAACGGCGGAAAAGGGGAACAAAATTCACAATTATCATCATCATCATCATCATCATCATCATCATCTGTGGCTTCACAACCCTGGGTAGATTTTTGTCGACTCAACCATACGTCTCCATCCCTTTCTATCAAGCATCCGATCGGGCCATCTTCGATATTCATGGCTTTTAGGTTTTTTACAATTTTATCTCTCCATCTGAAGCGGGGCCGACCTAATGGACGTTTTCCCCCCTGGAACCTCCTCCCACACGAGTTTTACCATTGTATCATCTGACATTCTTTTTACGTGTCCTGCCCACTGTAGTCTCTTGGAATTTAATTCGTTTATTATGCTGGTATCAGTGTGGAGTTCTTGGAGTTCTTGGTTGGTTTTAATATATATTGCCCTGTATTTTCGTCTCTAGTTGGGCCGAATATTTTTCTTAGCACTTTCCTTTCAAAGACCTTACGTCGGTCTTCGCTTGCAACCGTTAGGGTCTAGGTCTCGCATCCATATATTACGACAGGCCTTATAATTGTTTTGTATATGTTCAGCTTAAATTTTTTGGTAAGTAGTCTGGATTTCATAAGGTTTTGAAGAGTAAAGAGGCATCTGTTTGCAGCCTGTATCCTGTTATTGATCTCTTCTGTGATGCCGTTGTTTTCACTGATACTTGTACCCAGATATTTAAATTGTCTTGTCCGCTCAAAGTTGTAGTCTCCGATAGAGAAGTTTTGTCCCACTATCTCGGTTCTGATTATTTCTACTGAGGTATATATACTTGGTCTTGTTCTCATTTATTTTTAGGCCTATCCTTTCAGCTTCCTTTTCGAACTTTATGAAGGACTCTTTGAGGTTGATCCTGCTATTGCCAATCACATCGGCATCGTCTGCAAAAGTCAGGAGCAGGTTTGGTCCCTCTTGATGAATGATAGCAGTTGGCTTCTCTATTTTGGAATTCCTAATTACATATTCCAATGCTATGTTAAAGAGTTGAGGTGAGAGGGCGTCACCTTTCATGAGACCATTACTGATACTGGAGGAGTCGGAGAGACTCTGTCCCACTGTTACCTTACATCGCGTATCCTCCATACATACTTTTGTCAGCGATATAAGCTTTTTTGGGAATCCAAGCTCTTGCATTGCTTGTCACAACTTTGATCTACATACTCTGTCGAATGAGAGAGTATGTAGAGAGCTGTAGTTTTCTTATAGAGTGTTTCTCCGCCCGATTTTATGCATTCGACAGGTATGCCGTCGCTGCCTGAAGCTTTGTTATTTTTTAATTTTTTTATTGCCTTCACTGTTTCTTCGTACGACGGTGGCGGTGTTTCTATTTCGGCCGTTGGTATATTTGTTGGTGGCGTATTTCCATATTCTTCATCATTGAGCAGTTCACAGAAGTATTTCTTCCAGGTATTTAGAATCTCCTTTTCGTTGGTTATGAGTTCTTCATTATTTTTTGTTAGAAAATTTTCTTCTCTGGGTTGGTATCCTGCTTTCTGTTTTGAGATTTCGGTAAAACACTCTTGTTCTGTTATTCTGTCTATTTTCTTTTATGTCCCTTATTATTGATAGCGGTATTCCCTCTTTTTTCGTTTCACCATTCTGCGAGCTGCTGTTCTTTGATGTCTATATTCTTCTATATTAGGTGCTGTTGGATGTTGTAGCATTTTTTAAAGCTAGCTTATACAATTATGCCATTGCTAAAGGAAAATGTTTTCATTGCTCATTTTAACGACGCTATCATGGATTTTATATGAATTCCCAGTTTTGAACAGGAACTTTTTTAAAATACTGTAACATTGTACGCTGTTGGAAGGCAAAAACTGCGGCGACTCCATTGAAAAATTGGCGAAAATTGGAGGAAAAAAGCCCAAAAGTTACGAACTACGGAATCAGTAGAGCAAGATTTATTTCATTTAATGGCGCCAATATGGATTAACTGTCTCATTCCGGTTCTCAAAAGTGATTTAAATTGTTCATTAGGCCAGTGATTTTTATGGTTTTAATGGCTCTAACATGGATTTTATATCCATTTCCGGGTTTGAACAGGATTTTTTAAACTAAGGAAACAGCGCGGTTACAAAAGAATAGAGCGCCGACTTTATTGGAAACTTTGCCAAAAATTGACCCAACGAATGAAAAGTTCACAAATTCTGCCACTAATGGAGCAATGTTTTATAGAATTAATGGCGCTAATAGGGATTTACTAGCTATTTAAGATTTTGACTGAAACACATCGTGAACTACGGCAAATAATGTGCCAATTTTATTCAAAAGTTTCCCAGAAGCGGAGAAAATGCGGGACAAAATTCACAATTATGCCATTGCTAAAGGAAAATGTTCTCATTTTAACGACGCTATCGTGGATTTTATACACAATATACATTTTATAGACAATATTATTTCACACAGTTTTGTGACTGTAAACTGGCTGACGATATAGTAAAGATTCAATAATTTTTAGCCACAATGTCTACTTAATCTTAATCTGTTATTTTTTTAATTGCACTAATTATATTTCCATTTTATTTTAGGCTCGTGCGCGGGGATCTAGAAGGCACAGTGGACTATGATAAAAAATGTTTGCTGATTGCGAACAGCAGCACTAGTCAAGGAGAAGAGTTGCCTGTCGACAACAACCAGGACGAGTGTCCCATATTGTCGTTAATAACTGATGATTCAGCTCTTGGTAAGTTGTTGGTAAAATTGGCGTCTTATCATACAGGGTGTTTCAAAATAAATCCCGGATTCCTCGCGTGAAAATATGATGATTAACTCAACTTGCTTGCACAAGGTTGTGAATTGTCCAACATTAAATTATAATTTTTCAAAATTATACCACGATTTGAAGAAATTCTGACCAGCACAGTGGTAAAAAAACGTTTTGGGTAGATGATTTTTACTAAATAAGTGAAAAAAAATCAATTCTGTTATACGATATTAGTATATTTCACCAAATTGTCAAGAAAAAAGTATATTTTTAATATTCCAACGAAATATTGAAAACTGATTGATAAGTTATTAGCAAATCCCCTTGAGTAGTTTAGGAAAAACTATAAAAACTACACAGCGATTGTTCTCTGACCGTTGGATTGTCGCAGATAATTAACGGTATAATTCATAATTTCTAGGTTGATAAAAGTGCAAGCTATTGGTTTTTCTGCAAAAAAAATATTTTCTCAATCTACGTGCATATGGAAACAAAAAATCACTTGGGGTCTTTGGTAAAATGCAGAGTTGAAGGATGGTTGCTTTAAGCATCATTCTATCGACACAGCGATCGCAAATTTATTCTCACTTTTTCTCAATGTCTGGGGGGTTTTTAAGTGTGGGATTTCAAGGCGCTGATTCACTTACGCCAGGTTTGAACCACAATTTTCAAAAATTTGTGATGGAAGGGGATGGGATCCATCCCATGGAGACAACTTTTCTCTATTGGTACTACGATCGCTAATTAAGTATCTTTCTCAATTTTTGCGAGGTATTTAAATATAAGGTTTTAAGATTATTTTTGTTTCCTCCAAGATTGCCCAGAGATTTTCAAAAAATAAAAACTAACCCGGGATCAGGATGAATGATGCTTTGAGCGTCATTCAATAGAGTCAACTTTTCGTTATTAACTCTGCGATCGTCCAATTTCAAAGCGCTGTTTTGCTTCGACCAGGTTTGCAACGGATGTATTTTGAATTGCCACTCGAATCGGATATCAGAAACAAGGCTGCTTTCAGCTTCACTTAATAGGGGCAACTTTCAACTTAGTTTCACTTTTCTTCAATTTTTGGGAGAAGCCGGTAAAAAAATTGAATTCTGTCGAACTGTCCGAGGAACGCTTTGTTTAACATTGGATAGTTTCTAGACAGAATGGTGCACGTCAGTGGTTTTTCTGCAAACGAAAATTATTTTATAATTCTACAATCAGATGGGGACAAAAAATCTGTTTTGGTTTTTTGCAAAAATGCACAGTTTGCGATTTAAAAAATGAAAACTGTTGGATTGTCGGAGAACATTGACAGAATGTTTAACATTTTATACTGTCCAGACTTTAAGGTGAAAAGAATCGATTGTTCTCTGAAGCTGGGGGTTGATTTTTTGAAAAAATATAAATTTTCTCAAAATACCTTGAAATCTACATCATTGTGATCTCAAGGAAGTTAGGAATGGAACAAACATTGTAAAGCACGCCAAAATAGACCTGGGAAGTTTAGTTCCCCTTGCTGATTTCCATCATCAATCTTGGTCAGCGAAGTGAATAGTACAAAATATTAGTTCGTTTAGTTCATTTAGTCCAGTAGGTTAATTTTCATCATCGAATAAAAATATTATAAATAAACGGGCAATTTAACTTTAGTTAAAAAGACGATTGATATTTTTATACTATGTGTTGTATTGCTTGTGCTCGGGATTTATTGTCCATATATTTATCTTTGTATTATTGGAGATTGGAGGTCTTTTTAATTTACATGATTTAACTGACTGACTGACTGTATCTTCTCTGAGATTTTCTATGTAAACATGTGCGAGTGAGACATTTTTGAGCAGTCATCTTCGTCATATTGTTTTGTTGACCAATCAAAACCCTCCGAAATTTTATTCCACTTTCGCATGTTCCTAATATAGAATCCGGACCCAAATCAGTTAGAATCAATTAAATCGCGTGCATTGTCGTTTGATATTATGTTTCTTTATGAAATAAACGAAGAAAGAACATGTCTGATACTATACGAACAACAAGGATTATCTATTTTCATCGCCAGCTATGAACTGCAAAGTCGGCAACGCCAACTGAAAGAAATCGCGGGGAAGTAAAGAGAAGCGCTATTGGTTCAATCACTTCAATCGGCGTCATCGGTCTCGTTCTCCTTCAAGAGTGAGATGAAATGCCATGTTCTGTTTTTTTCCTACTGATTCGCTCTTTCAATTTAGAAGATTCGATCGTCTAGTTCAGTTCTCTGATTCTGAGTTCGTTCGCTAACTACACAGCACTACGCCAAAAGTTAAAGTTTCGAAATAATCGATATTTTCGGTAGTAGATCAATGATTTATTAAAATTCTGATCGGAAAAAGTGTCGAAAATTAGTAAACAACACCAAATAGTCAATTATTTTGTAGGATATTATCTTTCACGAAATTGTCAAGAAACAAATTATAATTATAAATTGTAAAACTAAAACGAAAAATTTATTTCAAAAACTGAAATTTGAATTAACTGAGCTTTACAATACAAGAGTAAAACTTTCGGAAAATCATTGCGAAATCCCAGATTGTATTTCACTTTTCACTCACTAATCGCGACATTTTAAGTTATAAGACCTTTGAAGGTGGCATTTATTTATCGAAAAAACACTATTAATATTCAATAAAATCATTTTCCAATTTTATTTTCTATTAGATTGTGTTAATTAATAAAATCATTTTCAAGCGCTTCACACTGCAGCATTTGGATATGTCTGGACCGCACTAGTTTGAATTCATTTTCCAGAAACGAGTTTAACTGATGAGAAAGCAAGAATCTCACCAATCCAAGTCAGAAAATCAAAGCGAACATTTAAGCCAGTAGACAAGCTGGATATGTTGGAGCTTGAACGCAAATTTACTCCGATTAAAAAGGAAACGATTGCTGTGGATGATGAGCAAAGTTTGAATAATATGCCATTGCCGGATCGCTTGCTGCTGGATGCTGGATACGGCGACAGTGTGGACAAAGTATCTGAAAATGGTTCTAAATCGAGCAGCGACCTTACCAGTTCCAATTTATACTCGTTCGAGTATCAAGTGAAATTGCATAAGCAAAACAATCTTTTCCATGGGATCAAAAATGTTAAGGTAAGTGAGGTTTTTAAATTTAATCTTCAAAGAATCTTCAAAAAACGTAACTTTTATTTAAAGATTAAATTATAATGAAACTACGTTTTAACCCGAATATAATTTCTCGTGTTTTGTCTGAAAAATTTATGGTAGGTATTCGAATTATTCCACAAAAAAGGAAATTTTTGACTGCTGGATTATTTGAAATGGAAATGAATTTTTTTCTTGAATTTTTGGATTGATTTTTTTTAAATATGAGGGACAGAAAATTGTATATACTTTTTTTATTGCGCGTAAAATATTACTGATTTCTGCTGCATATTTCCCCTATTAGCTTCCCCACACTTCCTCGCAATTTTGGAATTAATTTATACATTTTCTCTTGATTTACATGCTCAATAATAGCTGTGTACCTTTTTCTTCAATATCAATCCATTAAACCTATAATAATTTTTTCGTTTTGTAGTAATAGGTCGGCAGGAAGCGATTTTTCGCTTTATTTTTTTTATTTTGTTAGTGGAAAGTGGAGTATTTTTGATTTGAGTAGGATTTTTGATAAAACTTTTTTATTGCTAAACTTCAAGCAAACTTATGAAATGAGACTTGAACTTAAAATGTACTGCACGTTTGGCTTAGTTAGATCTTCATGGGTATCCCTAGTAAACAACCAGCAATACTAAATACAATTCCGGGGTAATTCCGCCAATCGGATCTCCGGAGGGGAAAATGTTGAAAGCAATACTAAAGAAGGGTACAGGAAGTGGAAAACCAAAGAAAGATAACATGCGCTTGAGAGTCGCTACCTGGAATGTAAGAAGCATGTACCGGAGTAGCAAAATCCATAATGCATTCAAGGAAATGAAAAGGCTGCGTATAGACATCCTGGGCGTTAGCGAGATGCGATGGACGGGATACGGAAGGTGTACCGTCGACGAATACCAAGTGTTAAACGCGGGGAATGAAGGAGCAGCCCCCGATAATGGGGTGGCACTTATCATATCTAAATCACTAGCGAAATCGTTAATAGAATCAGTGCCGATATCTGACAGAGTAATTTTAATCCAGCTCAACTCAAGACCATTTAACACCAACTTAATTCAAGTATTAACTTTAACGCAAAAGTGGGAAACGAGCAGTGCCAGAACATAGTGGGTGGCTTTGGAATGGGCCTTAGAAATGACCGGGGTGACCGCATTATTCAATTCTACCAGAAGAACGATCTTTTTATAACAAACACCTTTTTCAAACTTCACTAAAGAAGACTGTACACCTGGACGTCGAATGCGGAGACGGAGGATATGATTGTCCGCAATCAGAGCGACTATCTTGGTAACGCAACGTTTTAGAAATAGCATAAAGTCCGCCAAAACATACCTGCGAGCGGACATTGGTTCTGACCACAATTCTTTTGTAGCGATAACACACATCAGGTTAAAGAAAATTGCCAAAAAACAAATCCAAAACAGCATAGACCACACACTACCACGGAAAGAGCCCATCAAAAGTATAGTCCGAGAACAACTTCACAAATGCCTTGAAACCCACAACGAGAACGCCTTTGTCAAAAACACCTCAAAAGTAAAACTCAACACAAGAAAAGACCCTGGATGACAGACGAAATATTGGATCAGCTTCCAACTTTTATTCCACTCGGTATCACTTTAAATACAGAACAGGAACAAACTAACTTCAAAATTACCGCCAACTTCACAAACAATAACACACGGAAAACTCGCTCTTCAGACTCGCGGGGTTTAACCTCTTCTGCACCCGGTCTCTGCTGTCACTTCACTCTTTGTCTGTGTGTTCTCCTCGCCGCTTATATAGATTCCTTCAGGTAACCCAGATGCTTCTCGAAATATCCAGAACAGGTGCCAAATGGGGCTCCCATTTACTGAAAAACCATGAATTTCGATCCCCCCATTCCAAACGTGAGTACCCCAGGCCATTTCCGTTACAATATGTATAAAAAGATCGAAGAAGCAACTGGTAACTCACGATCAAACAGAGCATCGGGAGCACTGTGCGATAAAACTGGTAAAGTCGTACAAGGATTGCAACAATAACTAATTGATTGGACAAATTATATAACGGAACATCGCCGGCTTTAGGGGATACAGAAGGACCACAAATTACATGCAAAGAAGTGGAGTATGCCTTTAGGGTGTCAAAAAGTCGCAAAGCGGTAGGACCGGATGAGATTTGTTGTGAAGTGTACAAGCTAATAGACGACCAAATGGGCTTAAAAGTGGTCACAGATTTTTTCAACAAAATATACACTAGTGGTTAATTCCCAAACGACTGGCTAAAATCTGCGTTCATAACAATACCAAAGAAACCCACGGCTAAAAAGTGCGATAAATACAGAACCATTAGCCTAATGAACCATATGTTGAAGATATTAGGAGTTGGAATTAGTTTTAAAGGTTTTCTAAGAAATGGCGATATAAGCGTATGTTGCATGTGGGCACTCCAAAACTATATTCGCGGTAAAGCACTATATTATCAGGGTTGGCTTGATTTTTTTCAAGTGATTTAAATCACCTGACTTTTTTGGAAAAAAATCAAGATTTAAATCAAAGTTCATTTTTTCAAGAAACTATATTTTCACTCTAAAAATATAAAATAGAACACAAATAATTCTAAGAAATGAAAATCAAAATAGAAAACGGTACATGTGAACTTAAAAATTAAACGGTATTAATGGTAAACTCAACAATACTAAAACGGAAATCAGTTCTCTTTCTCTTCATTTTCGTTATAAAGTCTGAAGAGGAACACTAATTTCCTTCCTTTTTCGATTCCCAATCTGTTCCTGATATCCGAATGAACAAATTCGAATGTGCTCAACATCCTTTCGACAGGCGCAGAAGATGCAGTTGCACAAAGAAACTTTTTTATAGTGGGCAAGTGTTTCCCAATTTCCGGTTCATCTCTCTATGATCGCCACCACTGAAGTCCGTTCATATTTTTCAGCACCTCATCAGAAAACATAATTTATTTGAAAGGAGCGTTGAATTTAATAACTAGTGGCAACAATCCCGAGTTTCCATGAAACTCACTGATGGGCTCCATCCACATGGGCCAGATTCTTCTCTTCAGGAGTTAATGCGTAGTTTTGTTTCTCCGGGCTTAACATGTAAACAATAAAGTGATAAGGTGTAAGAGCTTGCTTATAGCGATGTTGAAGCAAGCGAAGTTGAAGCGAAGCTTCTGTAGTTTATCTAAAGATAAATTTTGAGATTCTTCAAACTTATCTTGCAAAAGTTTCCACTGCTCTACGGCATCAGATATTGTGGCATTTTTCT